TATTAAAGTTATGTGTAATAAGAGAAAATACAAACATTATTAGGATGCCAAGCAACACTGGTCACAGAAGAATCATGCTTTTTCCTGATTAGCTTACTAACCCACCTGAGGAAATGAATATTGTATATGGTTTGTAAGTAACTGAAGAAGTTAAAAGTCTAAAGAGGAAGCTATTATTATATTACCAGTTATTCTCCTGCTCATAGTAACATATACAAACAGTTTTAGCTCCACTTCCCACAGCAAATTTGTTTCCTGTAAACAATAATTAGTGACAAAGATGATACAGGTGAATCCTTCTTATGTGTCCATGAGTATATTACTATAATTTATTCCTAGTGTAGTGGTTATGAGGTGAGAATCCATATGAGAGGTCTTAGGTTTAAATCAAATCCAGAGATTGCAAAAAATAAAAAAATAAAAATCAAGAATGAGTATTTCTTACAATACCTTTAGGGCTCCATTGCACACAGAGTGCAGCTCGATTGAGCCTGAGGATAACAAGAGTTGGGACCCATACAGATCCTTCTTGGTTCCAAACATACCTGCAAAATTGAGAAGCTTTCATAACATAGGATCTAAAAAACAATAAGAACATTCACTCATGAATGAGAGAGAGATGCAAATAGGATCCCAAAATTGAATAGAATAAATATTTAAAACATTCACTCACGAATTGCGATCATGAGACACAGTAACTATTCTGTTTGATGATTTACTCCAATCTATTCCTGCAACAATTTGGTCATGCTGCACCAAGGAAGAAGCTAAAGTTTGAGAAATATAATGCAAAAGAATGCCAAAGAAAGTAAAGGATAGGTGTGATAAGTTAGACAGATTAAAGCATAAACAAGTATATAAAAAGGAAGTGATGCAAGAAAATATCAAGTACCTTTTGCAGAACATGAATCCTTTCCCAATTTTCTTCAATGGATTTGTAGATGTGAACCTCATGATTGTTTGGACAAAGAGCTATCACTGCAGGAAACAGAGTCACTATTACAATCCTGCATAATAGGCGTGAGTAGAGAGAAAAAGAAAAACATGTTGCAAAATGGCTATGTTATCATAGAAGAGCATAGTAAACTTAGCAGAAATAAAAGGTCCATGAATACAGTAAAACGCCTAAAGTAGTGGGCTACTATTTTCATAAGAATAGTTGAGAACACTTTCAAATACTGCTTTGTATGAGTTGAAAAGATGAAGTTTGGTCAGCCATTTGTATCAATCTTACTAAGGTCCAGATGCTCGCAATCCTTCATCTCCATGGTAATTCTAGGTAGTATACCAACCAGATCTCCAATATTTATATGGATTGCAAAACGTATCCATAAAAATCACGAATCACATTAAACTTTAGAACATGTACTATAAACAAAAAGTATGGAGATGTTGATTGTGTAATATAATTTATATGAATTCGTCGTTTGAAAAGTATTGCGGTTGAGCATATAAGTCAAAAACATTATATAGTATCTTAGGGAGCATAATTCATAATGGCAATAGGTATACCTACTAAAATCAAAAGAAATACATCAGTCCTGAAAGCTGTAGCATCCCAAAATTTTCTTTCATCATTATGAACATATCTCTAATCGTGGAACAAAAAGGGAGCATCTCAAGTTTATTAACCTATAATCAAGGTTACATCCAAACATAGACAAATTCATTATGAAGATATGTATCTGTATCTTACTTGAGTGATCGGGGCTCCAAGCATGGCAAGTAACGCACTCAGCAAACTGATTAACTGCAATTGCCGCCATTTGAATCTGCAAACCAGAAAAAACAATATACTTTCAAGAACTGCTCGATCGTCCTAATAGAATTTCCAAATTTCCGATAAATTCGATGAAGAGAGAGATAAAGAACCAGAATTAATTAGACTGGAGAACAAGGGTAATCATGTAGATTTGAATCGCGATGAAGACAAGATCTGTGACTGGATGCAAATCCTTGCGTTTTTTACAATCCATTAGGGTTTTAAAATTATTATTTTCTTCTTTGCATTTTACCTTTTTCGGGGGTTTTATTACGAAATTTCACTTTGAGTCCCTTCCGCTAAAACCGCTATGCAAATCAGTCCTCTAAAGCTTGTAGTTGGATGTGAACAAAAAAAAAAAAAAAAAAAAAAAAAAAAAAAAAAAAAAAAAAAAAAAAAGGGTCGGAGCGGAGTAACCGATAATATTTTGTTTGATTAAAAATAATAATTTGTATGTGCCAAAAATAAGATAGGTTTGAAATCGGATAAATACGTAAATACTTTTGTTTTTGAAAAAAAAAAAAATCTATAGATGATAGGTTATTAAATTTAATTACAAAAATGATATTATTAAAATAAAATAAATGTTTTTTTTAATAAATGCACTTAAGAAATTTTATGTATCAAGAATTTGGGCTCACTTGCCACGTTTGATTTATCTTAGGAAAAATGAATATTAGCACAACAATGTTTACAATTTGTGGATTCATTTTTTTTTTTTTTTGGTGTTTTCTAGATCATTAAACTTGTTTTTTACCTATTAATTAAGGGCATCAATTAGGGGTGTTCAAAAATATTTGTATCCGAAATTCCAAATCCGAATTATCTAAAAAATCGGATATCCGATTTTTAGGAATCAGAATTGGATAGTGTTTTTCAGATTTTTCGGATAATTCGGATATCCGATATCCGAAAATTTTGATTTTAATTTATACATTATTTGTTATTTTAATTATATATGTCTTATAATATGAATGTCAGTAACTAAAACATATTCATAATACCCCTAATTAAATACATATATTACTTTATATGTCTTTCTAATTTAAAAATATGTCTTTCTAATATAAAAACTTTCAAATTTTTACAAAATTTCAAATTTTCAGATATCCGTTTTGATATCCGAAATTTCAAATATCTGAATTTCGGATATCCGAAATTTCGGATATGTAATCGGATACCAAAAATCAACTATCTGAAATTTCGGATATCCGGTTATGAACACCCCTAGCGTCAATTGGAACTATCTCAGTTTACCGGTCAAAGGTTTGCCTAGTGGCATGCTCTTGTCCACATATATTACATTGTGTCAATTTTTAAATATATATGTAATTCCAATTTCTATATGATCAATTCTCAGATTCCCCCTTCATTCCTTTCTCTCCATAACCCTCACCATCGACACTCACAACTTTTTTGAAGTTGAAGAACACCAGTTCATCGGAGTAGTGTCCTAGGTTAAAAACCAAGTTCGTCAGATTACTGTTTCGGATAGTTTACAACATTGATTTTGATTACAAGGAGACGATGACTAGGGCTTCAATTTTTATTCCGACCGAAGAATATACCAACACTAGCATTTGCATCGTCTTCTCCAACCCCTTGTCTCAATCTGTTTGGGTAGGGTTATGTAGGCTAGACTCATTTATTGAGTTAGAGATGGAAGTGAAGAATTTGAAATGCATATAAAGCACAGATCTTTGGCAAGAGATATGCAGTTCCAACAAGATACTTATGGTAAGAATAAATCTAACCCATGCTCCTAATATGTTTGTCTCTCTAAAATTACCAATTAGTTTATTCGGTAGCAAAGTAATCATTTGTTGTAAGTTGTTGATTCATCGTTGTGTTCACCAAATTCTGCTTTTCAAAACCTCAACCCAAATCAGATTTATTCTTTTTATCTCCGAAACCCTCAATTTCTTCAATTTTGTAATTCCAAACAATCTTTTAGATGAAATGTTTGATGTTGTTTATGAAAATGGTTTTGTGCTAGGGAAAATGACTTATGAAGGTAACTAACTATTTTAATTGTCCATATATAGGTAATGTTTTTTTTTTGTTCTCATTAATGAAACCAACTTGTTATTTATGTTCATATTTAAGTAATATGACCGACTATTACTTGTTTTTGCTTATGTGGCAGCCACCTGGTACATGAGTTGAATACGTTGCACCTACGTGGCATTGTGCATATATTCTCTTCGTTTACAGTATAAGAAGTCATACGATTACACTTTGAACCCTAGATCGACGATGGCTTCTTCTTCCTCATCTTATTCTTCAAAACGACAAGATGAATTTCAAGTTGATCATCCATGTGATTGCAACTTACCATCTCGCGTGAAGACTTCAAGAACCCCTAACAACCCTGGAAGAAAATTTAGAGTTTGTCAAAACTAGATGGTAATCAGTATTGTTGAATACATTGCAACTTTCTTCTTATTCATCTTGTTGAATACCCTTTCTTCTTCTTCATTCTGTAATTTAACATTTTTTTAATTTTTCTTCAAGAATGGAAAAAGTCCAAGCTGTAAATTCTAGCAATGGCTGGATGAGGATGAAGGGAGGACAGATGGAAGAAAGCCTTACTGGAGGAAACCAGAAGAAAATTATAATCTAACCTTGAAAATTTGCACTTTGGAGAATGAAATCAACATATGTAGGATGAAGATCGAACAAGAAAACAACACCAATTTGGTTAACAGACAAGAATTAGACAAAGTCAAGTGGAAGTTGTTTACTCACAAAGTGGCACTGATTTTGTTATTTGTATTGTATGTGAAAATATTGGCTTGATTGTAGTTCATGATGTATTTGGGTTGAATGATGTAGTTCATGAATGAAACTTGATTGGTATTAGAATGATGTAGTCCACCTGTTTTTGTGTATGCTTATGTATGTAATGAATGGATGGAACTTTTGTTACATGTTTTTGCTTCTGATGTTTTTGTTACATGTATTAGAATGAAAAATAATCAAACATGGGAATGTAACATAATCAAACATTGGAATGTAATATAATCAAACATTGGATTCCCAGGAAATATTAGATTCCCATGAAACATTGTTTACAAAACATTGGAATTTAACACAGTTACACATGCATTACTGCCAAAAGGTACACACAAGATTCCAAAACTAACACATATGACTAGACATAAGTCCAAAAGTTACACATATTACTAGACAAAAGATTCCCAGTCAATAATGCCAAAAAATAACAAAGTGTCAAATTCTATTCCAATTCCGTTGGATTTTCACAACTACTCCCCTGTTTCCCCTCACACTTCTTTCTTATCTTAATTTTTGTGATTCTTTCTGAAGGTTTCCTTATTCTCTTTCCCTGTAGAACTTGAAATGCTGGTACTTCTTGCATATGCTCCTCTTCCACTGGATCTTGAACTGCAGCCTGTCCTTGGTCATCTTGTCCAACTGGATCTTGAAGTACATCAAGTTCTTCACCATCTTGACCTTCATACTGTCCTTGAACTTCAAATTCTACTTGATCTACAACTACAGTCTGGTATTCACCTTCTTCAACTTCAACATAAACAAGTGCTTCAACCTATTCTTCAAACCCTCCAACTTCAACATGTCCTTTAACTTCAACTTCAATCTTAGGTTGGTTTACATCTTCATATGTATGATTACCCTCTTCAAAATCAACTTCATAAGACTCCACCTCACTATCAGACTCCCTTTGAACTTCACTGTCACTATCAATTTCCACATCAACTTCTTGAACCAATTCAACCTTTACTTTACGTATTGTGAAATAATTCAAATGTTAGCATTAGAAGCTGTTATCTTGTAATCAAAAGGTAAAGGAGGAGAAATACCTTTTTTTTGGGTTTTTTATTTTTTGACTTTGGCTTTAGATTAGATGATTCCCCAATTGGGTTTTGAGGACATTCTGATTTATTATGTCCTGTTTCTCTGCATATGTTGCATCTCATAACAATACCCCTTTTTGAGACTGTATGCTTATTGCCCTTTAGTTCACTCTCAATCTGATCCCTTTTCCTTTTTGTTGATGATCTTCCTAGCATCCTTCTCTTTTTGCGAGGCAATGGCTTGATGTAATCAACATCATGCCACATATCACTACCATTTAGTGGCTTAATGGTGTACATGTAGTCATTACAAAACATTATTGTGGTCAACCATGGTGATACATAGTCCTCTGGATCCCTATTGAGGTTTGAAATGGCAGCATATGTATGCACGCAGGGGTAACCAGTTAATTGCCAACCTCTACATCCACATGTTTTCTTACCAAGGTCTACAACATATGCATCATGTAAAAGCCTCACTTCAAATTGTTGATAACTAGATGCTACAACTCTCCAAAATCTGTCCACACACACTTAAATGTAAATATACACAACTAAATGTCACACACATATATAAAAGGTATTCAACCACTAACCTTTGAAGTTCCTTAATCTTGGACAATTTTAGTTTAATGGCAGGACATATGTTTAAGTCTTCCCAAGAACTTCCCTTACTTTTTTGTCTACAAAGTCTCTCCATCACATAAATTTTAATTTCCTATAACATAGTGATTAGAGGTCTCTTCTGGCAGCTCCAATGATTGAGTTACAACTCTCAGAAACATCATTTTCATATGCATCACATGCCCTATCAGTCTGAAAGAATGCTTTAATCCAAGTTTTAGGGTCCCTCTCCATCAGATGATCATAGGCAAGTGGTTCTATCACCCTCGCTCAACCGTTCCTCTTAAATTCCTTCATTCTGAATAGTGTCTTCTAGTATCCTATTATACTCCCGAATAGTTTTCCTCTAATCTCTTTATTCCTATTAATCGATACAAATTATAATAATTTTGTGAATTGCTTAGGATGGTCCTCCACTGCTCTAAATCTCTACCTGGGCTTGTTAAAGCTAAGATATAAAGGGGTCATTGAATGAATTGGTCTTCCAAAAGTCTTAATCTAGTAAGTTTTTTCTAGTGTTTGAAATTTCTTTCATAACCTACTTGAAGTTGCGAAAATATGATAATGATTATTGATGAACAATTTTAAAGTTTCACTTTTGCTTATATAGCTTGCTAGTGAAGTGAGAAGTTATGGATCAAAGTTGTAGTCTTATTGATCCAGAACTGTTATAGGCTTCATTAATTTTTTTGAGGTAATTTTTTTCTTCGACTTCTTTTAACTTTTATAAGGTTTTCTTTAATAAGATTTTCTTAAATTTCTGATGTAATTGTTTTTTCTTAATATTATGATATGTTTTTGATATTGAAATTATAATATATTATGCTTTTTTGAATAATATGATATAATTTTTCTGAATAATTTGATGTATATGAAGATCTGATGTATCTCAAATTTTGATAAGTTATCTTAATTTCTTAAAATATGATGTATCAGATTTCTGAAAATCTGATATATATGTAAATTCTGATATGTCATGTGAATTCTGTTTTTGAAAAACTGATTAGTTTTTTAATTTCTAAATAATGTGATAATTTTTTTTTGAATAATCTGATGTATATAAAATTCTAATTTATCTCAAAATCTAATAAATTATTTTAATTTATGAAACTTTGATGTATCAAATTTTAGAAAATATGATGTTGATTCTCAATTTCTGCAAGACTATTTTATGTTTTTGTATATGTTGTGGTTTTTGATAGGTAATTTCTACGGAAAGAAGTTTTTCAATACTAAAATTATTGAAATCTTATCTTGGGATCTTGGGTGTACCTTGATTAATTAGATTAACAATTAATGATTAGAGTTAATGTCTATAAAGTCTTGATTATCATAAAATAACAAATGTTTTTGCTTAAAAAAAATGACAGAATGACACTCTTTGTATGTTTTTATTTGTACAATATTTTGTTTGACTATAAAATCTGATATATATATATATATATATATATATATATATATATATATATATATATATATATATATATATATATATATATATATATATATATATATATATATATATATATATATATATATATATATATATATAGAAAAGTGAATATACCCTTAAGGGTATATAAGCTTAGGTACTCAAACTCACCATACTACATAGTTTTATATCATATAATATATATTCTAATTGTACAATGTTCATGTAATTTAACTTCTAACTTGATTTACTTCCATGATTTTTATAAATTACACATTTAACTTTCTCTTAAATAATTTTCATTTTCAACGACAATATATAAAGCCTAGTAGGTGTTCGATAAAAAGATATGGTAAAAGAGAAAGATAATAGTGAAAATTTGAAAATTTTGAAAGTAAATAACGTTGGAGGTTGAAATTTAAGAACATTATAATGAATATATCAAACAAAACGACGTATTATGATGTGTTTGGGTACCTAAGCTTATATACCCTTAAGGGTATATTCACTTTTCCCATATATATATATATATATATATATATATATATATATATATATATATATATATATATATATATATATATATATATATATATATATATATATATATATTACGGCATTAATTAATTAATTTACTTTCTCGAATTCAAATTCAATGGACCGGCTTTGCTTACTTCATCACTCCTCTCACATACTATAAATAGATCCTCCATCCCTCCACGTCAATCTCTCACCATCAACATCATTGCGCTTGCATGTAACTTCATCACCACCGACTCCCCTCTTTCTAGAATTAAAAACCAGAGTTCAAGAAACATTGCCGCCATCGCCATTGAAGCACCACCATGCTCACCTGCTCTCTTCCTCTTCATCGCTACTAGAAATTCCACACATCATGAGGCAAACTTCAATGGAACTCAACACCAAAAACAAGAAGAGGTCTCTCTTCGCTTTCATCTCACTCGTTTTCCTTTTCTTGCTATCATTCAATGGCGCTTCCATTTTCTCCGTCAATATTCCTTCACTTGATCGCACCGCCCAATCGCCGCCAAAATTAGGCCGACATTCAAGAAACTTGATCTCGGTATCTTCTTCTTCACCATCATCTCCATTGATGCACGCAGTAAAAGAAGAAACGCCATCTGAAATTTCAATACCCCATCTGACGTTACAAGCAAACTCAGAAGAAACTGAAGTCACCGGCACCGGAGATCCAATAAACTTCGTCTCTGTACCCTTTTTCAAGCACCCAGTACAACAACGGCGAGAAAAAATGGCGATCGGAAAACAAGAAAACCTAAACCCACATGTAATTCCGAACACCCATTTGCCACATTCCCGTAAATCACACAGTTTCACGATTGAATCTGAGGATTCATCCTCAACCAGAAACAAGAAACTACTGAAGATGTTGACTGCTTTTGGGTCTTCTCGCGGCCGCCGGGGTATAGATTTTCCGGCGAGGGTGAAGGAGTTCTTTATGAAGAAAAACGACGGTGGTTCTTGCAAGGTCCGTTTCTTTATGACTTGGATTGCACCAGTGAATGCGTTTAATGAAAGGACGTTTCACTCAATTGAATCCATATTCAAAACAAATCCAAATGGGTGTCTTCTGATTGTATCAAACTCATTGGATTCGATCAAAGGAAACAGGATTCTCAAACCCTTTTCCGGAAAAGGGTTCCGAGTAACAGCAATTTCTCCTGATTTCGATTACTTGTTCAAGAGCACCATGGCAGAATCTTGGTTTTCAAAGCTAATCCGAGGTCATGTTCATTCCGGCGATGTCCCATTAGGCCAAAACATCTCGAATCTCCTTCGACTTTGTTTGTTATACAAATACGGTGGTGTTTATCTCGACACCGACGTAATAGTCTTGAAATCTTTCTCCAAATTAAAGAACTCAATCGGAGCGCAAACAGTTGATCAAAATTCCAAGAACTGGAGCAGATTGAACAATGCAGTCATGGTATTCGACAAAATGCATCCCTTACTTTACAAATTCATCGAAGAATTTGCATTAACTTTCAATGGCAACAAATGGGGTCACAATGGTCCTTACTTGGTTTCAAGGGTGGTATCAAGACTCCATGGGAGACCTGGATACAATTTTACCATTTTACCCCCGATGGCGTTTTACCCGGTTAACTGGGACAAGGTTCGGATCCTTTTCCGTGAGGGTAAAAACGAGACAGATGCAAGATTTCTGAGGGGGAAGTTGGAACAAATTCGAGACCAAAGTTACACTGTTCATCTTTGGAATAAGCAAAGTAGAGGGCTTCGTATGGAAGATGGAAGCATTCTTAAGAAGATTTTATCAGATCATTGTGTTTTCTGTAATTCATCAGCCAGCGACTATATTGTAAGTACAATGGGATAAAGATTCATTCGTCAACTTTCTATTTTTAGTAAGGCAGCTATCTTTCATCATGCATGAACTAACTCGGTTCACTTCACAATCAGATGTTAGATGTAAAAAGAGTGTAAAGTTGTACTTTCGTTTTTTTGATTCTTGAATGATACTAGACATATTCATTGAGTTTGATTTGTTTTTCGGAATATAAATTTGATTCTCTTGGTTCACAATCTTAGTTCCTTGTATTTTGTGTACTAAAAGTTGCACAAAACGAATATATATAGCCTTGTAAAAAATAAAAATCTTTGATACGCTGGAATTTTCTCTTTTGATATAAGATTACTTTATAATTTATATATATAATGAAAAACATAAAACAATGTTGCTATATTGATACGTGTTCAAATGATCAATGCTAGTTTTGTGATTCAATTACCACAGTGACAATTGGGCCTGATCTCGTTTAATTTCATGGAGGATTTTTTTTTTTCATAAAAAATTTTCGTTTGGTTTAAAGCAATCTCCGATCCTAAAATTGAAATAAGCAAAATAGTGAGTTTTTGATGATATGTTCTTCCTCACATATCATATATAAATACATCTGTTATATATTTTAATAATAAAATTATATATTAGTGTGTTACATATATTTTTATTAGAAAATAACAATTATTATATTTAACTAGCTATTGTGCAACTTTTAAATGTATTTATATCATTACAACTCGGTAAAATAAAAATTATAATTTTAAAATGTATATTAAAATTTTAAATATTGTATTTCATATTGGATTATTCTATAGATAGATTTTTATTATGATATATTAAGTGATTATTTTTTTTGTGTGCGTGTATGTTTTAGTTAGAGCGATGAAAAGAAATTACGTTTAATATCATAAATACGCAACGAATTATTGGTTCATTTTATAAAATATAATTGTTTAGAAAATGGTAAACGATGTAACTCTTTGCTCATAGTATAGTAAAAAATTCCCTTATTTTAAGGTATTTTATAAGTAAAACGATAAGACAATGATATTCCTTAACATTTTAAATAAGAATTCGTTATCCATTTTTTACACCATCTTTTTATTTTAAATTACGATCGGAAATGCTCTTACCTTCGTTTTTTTTTTTCAAAAACCTCATAGACTACAAAAAAAATATTAAAAGTCACTTACTAATTGTGTCCTAAACAGTCTAAAATCATTCTATATCGATAATTTACACTGCCACTTAATATTTAGATTTGGACATAACTAGACGTTGTTCTTCAATCTCCAATTCCCTCCTCGCACTCTGGAATATCGTTTCAATTTGTTCTAACGACTTTCCCTTCGTTTCTGGAACACATTTGTGAACAAACAAAACAGAAAGACCAGAAATTATCGCAAAAAGAAAGAAAACACCACCCATTGTAATTCGTCTAGCAATTGAAAGGAAAGACATTGCCACAATACCACTAATAACCCGATTCCCAACCACCCCAATTGCCGAAGCCTGTGATCGTAGCCGTAATGGGAAAATTTCGGAGCTTAAAACCCAACATACCGGCCCGATTCCAATTGAGAAAAACCCCACATTCCCACAAACGAATACCACAACCGATTCCATTCCGATGGAACTATTCTTAAGAACGGAAAACGCGATTCCGAGGCTTAATGTACATAAAGTCATTCCGATTGTGCTCACGTACAACAACGGTTTCCTCCCGATTCTATCGATAAGAACGATAGCTACCACGATCACAAATGTTTTTGTGAATCCAACGGCCATCGTTGTTCCAAGTAGACGGGAATTCCCTGTGATTCCAGCGCTTTTAAAAATCATCGGGCTATAATACACGATGGCGTCAATTCCCGTTATTTGTTGAAAACATTGGATTCCGCACCCCGCGATCAACATTCTCTTAACTCCCGGAGTCGGATTCACCAATTCCTTCCAAACCAATCGAGCATCGTTGGCATTCAAAGCCACTTTTCGAATCTCATTCAATCTCTCATCGATTTCCATTTCGTTATCATTAGTTTTCAATAAAACAAGTCTAGCTTCATCAATCCGGTTGTTCATCGCCAACCACCTCGGCGACTCTGGAATCACTAATAACGCGAATCCAATGAACACCGAGGGGATGATTCCAATTCCAAGCATAATTCTCCAATTTATATTTACGGGTAACCCTCGGAAAACATAACTTGACACATACCCTAATAAAATCCCAAAGTTTATGAAAATCTCGGGAAATGAGGTTAAAAGTCCTCGAGATGTTGTTGGTGATATCTCGACAATGTAAATGGGTACGATTAATATTGCAAAACCAATTCCGATTCCGGCCACAAGACGACCAATTAACAGTATTCCAAAGTTTGGTGCGATCGACATCACGATCACACCAAACTGGAATATAAAGGCCCCAAAAGCCATTGTCCTTTTTCTACCAATAGTGTCAGAAGCCTTCCCCCCTGCTAAACTTCCTATTAAGGAAACTATGTTCAAGATTCCAACGATAACTTCTACTTGTACTTCACTTATCTTCAAATCTTGTTGCATAAATATGATTGCTCCACCCATTACACCTACATCTGCCATGATAATCAATAATAAACGAAAATTATGGAAAATGTATATACCAATATGATTTTTTTTTCGGTATCAGAATTTCAAAACTTAAAATTATGCCTGAATAAATGAGATTAACTTCCACTAAGACAAAATTACATAAATCGTCTCTATATCTTTTACAAAATGTCACGTCCTCATTTTTTTTTATTGATAATCACTTTTTTAGGTGGTTGGTCTATAACCATATAAAGTGATTTTTATACCTATTTTTATAAAAGAAAATATAAAAAACATTTTATATAGATTACAGCCCAACTACTCAAGAAATTGAAGCAACATGGACCATTCTTGCAAAAAAAAATGTAAAATTATGATTTTTTGTAAATAAAAGGGACCATTTATGTAATTTTGTTTATTTATAATGTAAATGTTAGAATTAACATGGTTTTAATTTGAGATGAAAAACACATTGCTTTCTCCAATACATGTGCAATTTTTCAGAAAATCAAAGAAGCTTTTATTGGGATGGAAGGCATGAATCATGAATGTGAAACAGATTATGCGAAAAAGATTGTTACCTAGAAAGAATTGAATCAACTATAAAAAGGGTCAAAATCTCCGTTCTCTTGGAATCCATAAAGTATTATTAAAATTATAAAAAATAGAAAAAATGTAAATATAATAAAGAAAGAGAGGAAAGGGTACCAACCATAGCCAAGAAGAACAGAATTAAGAGATGCAAAAATAGCACAAGCAAATACAAAATGCTTGGTGTTGAATCTCGTCTGTTTCTTTTGTTCAAGATCCATTTCTTGTTGCGCCATTTTCATCCCATTTTCTTGAAATCAATTCGTTTGAATGCATATTGTATGACGAATATATGTTTTCTGGATGGCATAAAGATGATGAAACCTAAACCTGAATACCGAACTTTCTCTTGTAACGGTATGGATTTGGATAGAGAAAAGAGGGATTTTTGTGTGTGTGTGTGTTGGGGCGGGGGGGGGGGGGGGGGGGGAGGGGTAGGTAGATAGTTTTCATGGGTTCTATGTAATTCGTTTAGTACGGACGAGCAAAAACCGAACCGAAAACCGAAAAACAGAAACAAATCGACATAACCGAAACCAAAGCGATAACCGACGGTTTAGGTTTCAATCTTACAAAAACCGAAAAGGGTTTGGTTCGGTTTTGACGTATAAAAGCGTTCATAAAAACCGAACCGATCCACATATATATTATTTATTATGTTTTAAATATTTTTAATATTTATTATACATAGTATTGCATACTGAATTTTAAAAATATATAATAAAAATGAAATACGTAATGGCCTAATGGGTTATTGAATATTGATGACCCAATAATCAATACTCACGTTATCTATTATCAAATAGACTAATATGCATTGACTTAAATCCCTAAAACTCAATTCTTGTTCTCTTTTCCTTCTCATCCTTCACAGTCGCATCGGCCGTTTGCCACTCATGTATTGACCCAAATCCTTGGTTGTTTCCGTTCAATCTTTTATCTTGGAGGAAACCGACTGAAGCTATCTACTCCAATCTGTCTACTATTCTGAATGGGTAATTAACTAGTTTCTATAAAGAATACATTGTTCTTTATGTTTGTTACAATGTTTGATACTATGAATCGCAGTTACTGTTTCTGGTACTATGTCATCATCTTTAGTCTTTAAGACATCAACTGTTCAGGAATTTGTTAAGTAATCAAGTTTGTATTTTATGTCTTATAATTTTTTTTCCATTGTATATACGATGATTTTGAAATCGACTAACCTCATCATAACTTATAAAATTTAATAAGTGGTAGCAATTTGTTAACTAAATTTAGAGCTTTAGCCAAACGTGTAAACTACAACCCTACTGATCATTGTTTTTTTTACCTTTTTAGAACTTTCAAAACATTACTGGTATAACGTATTGAATAATGAATATATATATATATATATATATATATATATATATATATATATATATATATATATATATATATATACTAGTGGGGTACCAACATGTTACTATTTTAATATATATATATATATATATATATATATATATATATATATATATATATATATATATATATATATATATATATATCGATAAGGTTTATACAAAATTTGATCTTATATATCACGCAAAACTTCTTGATACACTACATTTGATGTGTAAATTCCTCTTCCCTGAAATTCTTTTGTAGGTTTCACTAAGATCTTTGTATTCTCACGGGATATCCCTCTAGAAAGCGCCACATAAAGTTACCGATGCGAGAATACTGACTCTGGTAGATAAACACCAACGTTTGGAATTGTTTGACCTTGAGCTTTATTGATTGTCATAGCAAAGCTAAGCCGAATTGGAAACTATTTTCTTGTCAATTTGAATGGAAACATATCATTATCGGATGGACAAAGAGGAATTCTTGGTAAAAAAAACTCGTTTTCCGGCATGAAGGCCAACCGCTATTTCCGCATCGATCACGTTCATCTGAAAACCTCTGCATATCAATCTTCTGCCATTACATAAACCATTCGAAGTATCAATATTCCTTAACAGTATTATAGGGCATCTAGTTTTGAGTCGAAGGTAATGAGGAGGTAAATCACTGATATTTATAGAGTTTAAGAATTTCCATCGGATAGAAATTGTTCTTATCATCTTCTGCCTCATCAAAACTATAGTAAATCCTCTCCTCTCCACATAACCTATCAATCAGTTGATCATTAATTTCATCAACACTTTCATTTTTTGTTGATAGTATCGCCGTGGAAATAATATACTCTGAAGAGCCTCCATTGATGTGCAAAGAAGGAAAGATTGCATTAATCAACTCGTCTTTTGATTTGTCTTGGTCGGTGTAAGGAATGCACATATCATCAGGTATTCAGACAAAACTTTCATCGATGGTTTCTTCATCTCCGTTGCCAATTTGTATCAAAAAATCTGAAAACCATGGATCGGCCAGTGCTCTCATATTTATAGTTAAACGTATTTTTTTAATCAAAGACCAAAGAGGTGACATCCTCAAACTGGCGTCTACAATCTGTGCTCTAGTACCACGTCTGATTACTAGTAACACCTGTCTAAAATCGCCTCCCAAGATCATTATCTTTCCACCAAAAAGGAGGCTCACCTTTGTAATGTCTTGCATCGTTCGATCCACCGCCTCTACTGCTTGCCTATTCGCCATTGATGCTTCATCCCATATGATTATTTTGGCCAAACAAAGTAGTTGAGTAACCCCACTTTGCTGGTTGATTTTGCACATTGAGTTATTATCAAGATTTATCAGAATCTTAAACCGTGAGTGAGATGTTCTCCCCCCCCCCCCCCCGGCATATTATTAGTCGCAGCACCGGATGAAGCTGTCGCAAGTGCAATATGACCATGGGAACGAACCTCGGCAAGTAAGGCTTTGTACAAAAATGTTTTTCCAATTCCACCAGGACCATCTATAAAAAACACACCCGGATGATTCTGATTAACGTGGGTCATGATCTCATCATATGCATTTTTTTGGTCGGTATTGAGAGAATCTTTTGCACGAAGGTGTTTATCATCCACAACGATGGAGTACTCCTCTTGGACCTCGCGATAAAATCCAGATTCCAAATTGATGTTTGTATTTACCATAGGAAGATCAAACTCATTGAGATGCTTACCCATAGATTGCAAAATTATAGAGATATCCATAAGAACCATTGTTTGAACTCGCTCAACACTTTCACATTGTCGCATATAATCTTCAGAAAGTGAATTATAGTGGTCATCCCATAACTTGCGAACATCTCCGGTGTCGCAATAAATGAGTATTGTTGCAAATAACCTTCTAAGAGCACCTGGAAATTGATATAACGAAGCCTCCGTAAGACATTGAGATAGGTTATCATCGGTCTCTATTAACCCTCTCTCAAGAGCAGCTTTACGAAATGTTGGATGTAACACGTTGTTCACCGTGTAAAGATCTTCAAAGGATGTTAGCCCTCTAACATGTGATAGAAGTACCCGTAGGTAGTATCTCTCTCCTTCGGCAGGGTTAGCAGAAACCAATCGGCCTCTCATTGCTCCTTTTTTCCTTTGCTTCCAACAACGTTTGGTTGAATTCCATGTAAAGTATCTTGGGAATTCTTTATATAGATATTGCCTCGGAATCTTATCCATTTTATTCATGTCAAAAAATGCAATCAACATTGAACTCTTATCTTTCTCCCTATCCACAATATCAATCATTGAATCATTATTTGAGAATCTAACCAATTGTTGGTTCGGGAGATGAAGATGAAAAGACATGACGAAAGGGTGGATTTGAGAAAGCGCAAAGCTAAAAATCCTCCATATTGCCTCAGGGGGTGAGACGTAACGTGCATCTTGATATCTTTTAATCTCATTGATGATGGGTTCCGCTCCATCTTGATCAATGTGGACAACTTGTTTGGCATGTCCCTTGTAAACGTATTTAAAAGCATATTTCACAGATTTTATGCTTAAGCAAACCTCGACATTTATGTGGCAATTGAACATCATTAACAACTTCGGGTTATATGGTACCACCCATCTGTTATCAAGTGTATTTCCTCGTACGTTGACCTCTATCCCATTGTTTCTCCTCCTATATAATGGATATGAGTCTTCTCCTTGTGTCGTCGCTTCATTAAATTGTCTAGGATATCTCCACTGACATTGTTTTGGCTCTCCTTGCATACATGGACTGGTTTCTCGTAAATGACCACAAGGACCGTGCATCATGTGCTTCACAACAATTTCGTGCATTTTGGGATACTTTTTCGGATCTGGAAGTTCAGCACACACCATTTTGTCATAATGGTCAGCATTTGTCATCTTGTGTTCTGGTCTCATTATCAAGAGGAAATGTGCATGTAGCAAACCATGCTTTTGAAACTCCACCACATAAACATATGCTCGAACCACACCCAGGATATGATGCTTTAGATGTTGGTCCTTTAGATCCTCTAATTTTGCACGAAACACTCTTGATATAAGGTCTGGTCGATCTTGTGCACTTTGCCCGGGTTTCAAATCATCAACAATTTCTGGCCGGTTTGGATTGCATGTTACTGTAAGGAATATATCAGGCTTTCCGTCATCTTGAACTAACGTCATTGCATCTAGGAACCTTCGTCGCATGTCACGTGGTCCACCGATGAAAGATGCAGGTAAGACTATCCGTTGGCCGACTCTACTTGGTTCAACTTCACCAGCATTGACACAATCAACAATTCCTTGGTAAAGGTCAGATCTTATCTTCTTTTGGTTTAGCTTACAAAAAAGCAAGCGTGAAGTCTCGATCTTTATGTAGATATCTACCACAAATTGTTGTAGTAATCTTCTTCCCAATAGAATTAAATTTTTAGATGAATGAATCTAGAATTTGTAACAGTAGTACTCACGTATTATTACGGTATTCCTACCCTTCTTTGACTTAGCCCCTACATAAGGGTAATGTTAGAAACTTGTAAATTTTGTATTTATGTATATTTTTACCGAAATCATTCATTTTCATATTTCAAAAATGTATGTACCTTCTAAATCATCCACAATATTTTCTTCATTACCCACAACTTCATTGATGGACACCCCATCCCTTGCTATTTTTGCATGCCAACCAGACTCACCATTAGGAAAGAATAATGGATAAGACAAAGGATCATAAAACCTTAGTAAGGTTGAATTTGTGTACTATAGTCAGATCTCCCATATACAACAATGCTTCTTTTATATGTTGTTATGTTGTCATTACCTTGTACCCAAATACTAGCAACCTATATAATTTGTGTTTTTAGTATGGTGAATATGTAATACGATAACTGATATGACTTGAAATTAAGAGAAATAATTATTATCCAAACCTCAGATGTGGTCGGCCGATTGTATACCCTTTGGTCAAGTTTCCACTGATGCGTTCAAAGTGACTTTGTAGTTATCGAGAGGTCCTAGCTCACGAAGGCTTCGAAACGTTGTAGCATACGGGTTTATTGAAAGAACGCCCACCAACACTTGAATGATCTTTCGATCAATATTTGGCCATTGAAGTCTATGTGTAAAGTCGGTTTCGGAATCATAGAAATATAATTGTAAGTACCTAGGTAAGCCATCCCTCGGTACTAACTGATCAATTCTGTGATATATTGCTCCGTTCGCACGAAATGTATATACTCCGGATTTCATATTGCTCAAATCATCATCCAACTCTACTCCCATGGATGTGAAATAAAAGTTTGTATTGTAAGCACGTATAGTATCTCTAAATATTTTGCTTAACTCCTCTTCTGATGTAAAAAGACGATATAACTCATCAGGAATTTTGGAAGATGCCAACTTTGTTTTCCCACTCATGCAACAAAAAGTAGCGAATTCATTTTTGAACCGTTTGGCTCCACAATGAACACATATATTACTTCCCTCCAAAATAGAGTGTACTTCAGGGATACCATCGAAAATAGAATGGTATGGATCCTCAAGAAGAATGTCATCTGGAATTACGTGATTGACATGGACCTCGCTAGAACCTCCAACTTCTATAATATATGAAAACACATCTCTTTTAAATTAAAGATAAAAAAATGTAATTGTTCATTTTAAATAATGATGGTTTATACTAAAATTTGTTGTAGAATTAAATTAGGACTAACCATCTAATGTTTCGTGTGTTAACCCCGTATATATTTGGTTGTTTTCTTCAGCACATATAACATGATGTTTGTGAATGACCTCTGCAGTAGCAAATATACTTTCATTGTTTCATTGTTGGTGATCACTTTCAAGCATTCTCCTTTTTTCTTTGTTGCGTTCATAATACTTTTTGTTAGTATCTTTCCTATTTTGAGCAGCTTTATCCTTACTAAGTGGCATAATATTTTCTTTGTCTCTGGCTCGAGTACCGTGTGAGGTTGAATGGTTATTTGCGGATAGCATTATTCCACCACTACATTGGTTTTCCAAGTTTTGTAATGGTACCTTTTCTAATTGTTGTTTGCTCTTAATTCGTACATAATATTCGCGATTAGCTTTTTTTTTCGTTTTTCTGCACTATTTGGGGTTCCTCGCAAATAACAACCTTTTGCTTTTTGTTTTGCGTAAATCGTGTTTTCCAATATTCTTTGTTGTATCGTTTTCTTCTTTCTGCAATAATATTAATAATACAATCCTTTTTCTTATAAGTTTTTTAGTTCAAATTAAGAAAAAACAATATAAGATTATCATTAATATATTATGCATACCTTTTTCGATATCTAAAGAAATTTGCGTCAAATCTTCATTTTCATTTTCACTATCTTGGGTCCCTATTTCACACTATAAGTTTATAAAACATAAATAAAAAAAATATTATATCTACTAACTCAATACATAAATTTGTTCAATACTTGAATAATATAGATCAAAGATAATAAATTGCAACATAATAGATATATTAAGGTTACAACAACAAAATACCAATATCCAATATTCTTACATAAACAAACCACCAACAACGTTCTTAGGTTGTGTATTTTTAAATTGAAATATATAATTATATCATCCACAAATCGCCCTAATAGCATTTGCTTTTGCCATAACCGGCTCAAATGCAACCCTCGAAATGGATGTAGAATCCAAAAAGTTCACTGAAATTAATTTTTATACATTAATACTTCATATGGATAATAAAAATAATTAATTTGTTAAATGATTTTAATTGACAAGTTTATACTTACTCCCCCCTCGGCTTCGATATTTAACACGAGATACATATATGATCCATTTCTCTTGAATTGATCGTGCGAGTTTAAAAGGTAAGGCTTCAGGACCATCATTCAAAATCAACTGAATTACATAGCCACTATAATAATTTGAAATATTAATTTTAATAGTACTTATAATTAAAATCTTAATAATAATAATGATAATAATAATACAAAAACTTATGATTGATCTTGAAGAAGTAAATCAATCGCACAATCATGGTGTAAAAGACGTCCATCAATAACTTTGCCAACAACATCTAAACCACCATTTAAGTAAAACAAATTTTAGTTATTTTTTAAAAAAATGAGTTAAATATTATATTGTAATAACTATTTAAGAATTACCGATCAGATTTCGTTGACGTGGATTTCTCACCAGATATTCAATAGACTTAACCAATGGATAAGTCGGAAAATGATTTTCAATGACCGGCTCAACTAGAGTGAATCGTGTAGCTTGGTTGACAATTATGACATATTGATCATCAACAAAGTTGTATCCTTCATACTTGGGGAAGTCATCGGGAGTGGAATTGAGTTTAAAATGATTTATAGAATATAAGCGGCCTTCCATACCTCTTTATAGGTATCTTCCTATTAAAGAGCTAGGTACAACTACCACCATTTTTTCTCTCTAGTTAATAAAAAAATTGTTAAAAAATAGTAATAGAAAAACTCTTTATATGGTGAAATTAAGCATTATATATTTGGAACTTACATTTTGGTCAACTACAAGCATAATTACTTTACTTTCCCTTGTATCCACCCAAACAAAATCAATCCGAACGCAAGCGAAATTATACCATACATATGGACTATTGAGTGACCGAAAAGAGTTAACATTGAAATACATATCCATTTTCTACAAAATTTAAAATAAAATGTAAAAGTTAAATAATTGATAACAATATTATTAATTTAAATATTAAAAAGATTCATAATGTTCATCACAATAAATATTGTATCTATAATTATTAAAATAAACAATAGAAAATACAAATATAAAATATTTCAAAATTTCATTTACAATATTAATTTAAATATTAAAAAAATTCAAAATGTTCATAACAATAAATATTGTATTTATAATTATTAAAATAAACAATAGAAAATATAGATATATAATATTTTAGACTTTCATTTACAATGTTAAAAGTTTTGACAAACCTAATTTGATATCATAAATGCTACAAAATTTTATTCTTCATTATATTTTAATAACAACATATTAAACTAAAACCAATAAAAATAATAACTATTCATATAATATATTTCTATAAATATTATACTATTAGTATCTCTATTTCTTACATTTGGTCTTGTATAAATTTGCATCCACTTTTATATCCATATCTTTAAACGGTTTATACTTATATTTTAAATGATTTACATTTGTTATAATAAATAAATATAAAAGAAATTATATAGAGTATAACATGTAGCAAAAAAAAAAGATAATGATATGTAAACAAAATAAAACATGTAAATAAAAGAAACTACATAATATTATCAAGTTTTACACATAGGAATAACTAATATTATATTAAAATATAATAGAGTAAAACATATAGCAAAAAAATGATAATGATATTTAAATAAGATGAATAATGTAAATTGAAATACTTTTAATTTACCTCTATTTTGGACACAAGTCAAAAGTAAGCACCGCCCTGTATCATAGACATGATTAAAACAAAAATAAATTGTTAAAAAACAAATCAAATCTAAACAAAATTGTACGTGTTACTTTAAAGTATATACTAAAAACTTGTTGCTAGGTAAATGACAAAAAAATCAATACACATCACTTTATATTAAAAATAGAAATTAATCAAATTTAAACAAAATTGTAAATGTTACTCTAAAGCATACACTAAAAATTTGTTGCTAGGTAAATGAAATAAAAATCAAAACACATCACTCATTTAAAAATAATAATTGCGATTTAATTTTTGTATATCAAAATACAACAGAAAGAAAAGGAAGCATACCTTTTTTCTAAAACTCAAGCTTCTACAATTTGTTTATCAACCAATGAACATATTTATATAGGTTTTCCTTTTGGAATCTTTTGCTAGTACTGATTTTGAACAATTTTTTTTGTCTATTAAACAGTTTTTTTACAATCTATAAGCCTTTTTTTAAGAGTCTATAAATTGCTGTTTTCTGACAAATAAACAGTATTTTAGACAGTTTGAAAAATACTATTTATAACAACCTATTTACCTATTAATTTAATGTTTTTGACATTGGTTTTTCCTACTTTACACAGTCAACAATACTATTACTTTTCACAGTTAACAATACTATGCAACCAACAATACTATTACTGACAACATTTGTACCTAACAAAATATTTTACAATCAGAAAAATATTTTTTTTTTCACATGCAATCAATTTGTGTTTAAAAAAAAACGAAATTCCTTTATTTGTTTTATTTTATTCGTTATTATAAATTCTCACTTTCACATAAACACAAAATATAAAAAATGTACATTAACATTTATGATATGCATTAATTTTTTTATTCTATTCTTTAATAATAATAAAGCATCCAACTTTAACATTAACACATTCAAAAACATATAGAATATAGATAAATTTAGAATGTTATGACAATAAAAAGTGAGAAAATATGATATTATTATACAAAACTTGTATCATCAATGTTTACAATGCAAGAAATAGCATCATAATTTCAATTTTTGGTTATATTATAATCGAATCAATTAAAATAAGATGATATTTCTTATTCCTTACAAGGAAGCGCAAGAAATATCATTGTACTTCAATGCCGACATAATTATGAATAGCAACTTATTTTCGTAAGAAAGAAAAGCATAAAAAAGTAGGATCCCATAATATAGAAATCTTTGAAAGTACGATGTTATTTCCTACTTTGTATTTTAAAAACTGGGAAATAACAAGGTACTTTCACGATTTCTTTATCATTTAACCTTACTTTAACATACATACATACAATTACACACTTATGAACGGATTACATAATAGAAAAAAAATCATATTTCTACCCCTACTAATTTTGAAGGTTGTCCAAACACATCAAAAACTTGTGCCTAGCAAAAAAAAGGTAAAATATAAGTCATCATAAAACAATCATGAATTGTATACATATTTACATTGTAATTTAATTGTTGACTTAAGAGTATCTTACTTTCATTTCAATGAGAAAAAAAAAATGCATTATAAAAATTGGATCAAAGAAATTATGATGTTATTTCATTCTTTGTATTTCAAATATATTAGAAAACAACACTAAAAAAAGGAATCAATGAAAGTTTGTATTTACAAAACACAATATAGGATCAAATAGTGCATCATATAAATATAATCTAACTTTAATTGTTGCCTTAAAGCTTCTTAATTTCATTTTAGTTAAATAAAAGTAGTGCATTATAAAGCATGAATAAAAGAAAGTATGATCCTATTTCATGCTTTGTATTTAAATAAACATGAAAAATAGGATGCTATAAAGAGATTCAATGCGAGTATGATGCTATTTATAACTCTTTAAAAAAGAAATACTAATGCTTGTAATAAAATCTTTATAATTGCATTATTCTTTTACATACACACATGATCACATACATATACCATACAGTAGGATGTCATTATATACCTTTCATAAAAAGGTTTCATTTTTTTTTCTTTATATCAAATAAAGGTGCCATATAAAGTATGATGATATTTCTTACTTTGTGTTTTACAAAGGAATAAATATGATCGAGTTTTTGACTAAATAGGTGTGTTGTAAATTTTTATTTACCAAATAGGTGTAGACTCAAAAATATTTACCAAACAAATGTAGTTTTAAAATTTTATATTTTTAAACTTTCATTTTCTTTTTACTTTTTTTCTTTTAAATATTTTTTGACCTCTCTTTTTATAAAAAATTGCTATTTTTATCATTTTTTTTATAAACCCCATTTCTTAAAATAATTTGGTAATGTAAAACAAAGTTTGTGTCACTACATTTAACTTTAAAATTTGCCAAATTACCATACCATTCTAGTATGTTGATCTATTTTCACATAAAAAATTAATATCAAAAAGTTTTAAAAAGGTCAAAAGAAAAATATTAAAATATATGAAAATAGAATAAAAGCCTGAAAGTTTTAGAAAAAATATAAACTTTGAAACTACACTTATTTGATAAATATTTTTAAAACTACACCTATTTGGTAAATAAAATTTTAAAACAAAATATAATCATATATATTTAAATAAAAGTATAATGCAATTTCTAAGGCTAAAAAAGTTTCATAAACATTTGATTTAATTAAAACTTTAAATTCTATAATGATATCATATAGAAAAAAACCTCACCAAGTATATGAAGAGTTTAGAAAAATATCAACTACCTTCAATAAGTATTTATTAAACAATTAATCACACCCTTTCATCGGATCTGAAAAAAAAAAAACATAAACTATGAGTTAACCATGAATATATATAACATGAAAGTTTAATTGAAGTTAAATAAACACCAATAATTATACCTAAATAACATAAAAGTTAGTTGGTGCAAATCTGATAGCATTCCTTCTTGATCTGCTTGCATTTCATATATACAATAGAATAAAAAATCACAAAATCAGAATTTTTATGTGTAAATAGATAGAAAACGAAAATGTTGAAATGGTTCGTTGAACAAATAAAAACGCAACAGAAATATAACCTGGTAATATTCTAAAACACAAAGTAAAATTGGAGTTTCATTCAACATCCATGGGATGCACCGTTCCAGTTTTTTTGACCTGAAAAAAAAAACGATTTTTGTGGCTAATGGAGTTTGTTCATTATTATGGAGAAGAAAACTGAAAAATCAAACCAAGTTAGAAACAAAAACAAACCTTTCTCCTGTTTGTACTGCACGATCGAAAACCTCAAGATTGTGAGCCCTAGCACATGGAATCGCAAACAACACCAAAATCGTTAAAACAAGACAAAAGAATTATGGAGAACAAAACTCAAAAACCAAAACAAGTTATAAAAAAAGGAACCTTTCTATCCTTTAAACAAAAACGGACCTTTCTCTAGTATGTACTGCATGATCGAAAAACCTCAAAATTATGAGCCCTATGACATGGAATCGCAAGCAACACCAAAATCTGTTAAAACAAGATAAAAGGTAGGCGGTTTTGGCGATCTTTTTGAATTATGGAGATCAAAACTCAAAAACGAAACATGTTATAAACAAACGAACCTTTCTATAGTTTGTTCAGCATAATCTTTCAAAACCTTGGGATTGTATTAACCCTAAGACATGAAATCGAAACAAACAAGCAAAATTGGTTAGCACAGGACAAACCGTAGGGTATTTTGGCGATTTTTTTGTGACTAATTATGGAGAACAAAACCCAAAAACCGAAACAAGTTATAAAAAACGAACCTTTCAATCGTTTGTTCAGCGAAGTCTTCGAAAACCTTGGGATTGTATTAACCCTAACACATGACATCGAAACAAACAAGCAAAATCGGTTAGCACAGGACAAACCATAGGGGATTTTCACGATTTTTTGTAGCTAATGTCGTTCGTTCAAAATTCTGGAAAAGAAAACTCAAAAACCAAACCAAGTTATCAAAAAAAAAAAAAAAACGAACCTTTCAATCTTTTGTTCCACACGATCTTCAAAAACTTCGAGATTGTATAAACCCTAGCAAGTGAAATCGAAACAAAAAACCAAGGATCCGTGTAATGGCGACTACATTAAGAGAGATTTAGAAGGTGAATCGATTAAGAGAGGAGGAGGAGAGATCACGTGAAATCGAAACAAAAAACCAAGGATCCGCGTAATGGCGACTGGATCAAGATAGATGTAGACGACGAATGGATTAAGAGAGGAGGAGGAATATCTTTTGATATCACGATATGGAAACGGCGGAATGAGAAAGGTCCATACAATTTCACGAATGGATTAGAGGGATCCGCGTATTTGTTTTTGTGGTTTCCTATTGGTTCAAACAATTTCACACGGATTACAAATATCAAAATCATGACCCTTCATTTTAGATCCAAATGTCCATAATTGATCTCCTTGATTTTTAAGATAAATGTCTTAAATTATAGAGGGCCCACAAAGATAAACCTTTTATAAGATGGTATATATATATAGAAAATACGATGCACATCATGAAAGGAAATCCAGAAAATCAGATTTCCAAAAACATGTCCATTACAATTCTTGTTTGTGACTTGTGTATGTTTGGTTTTGATATGTTACTAGTTTAAGTAGTCATGTCTTTTGTTTTGTAGATGGAAGCAACTCAAGGAGCTCGTAATGAAGTTGAAAGTAAGATTAACCGGCAAGGTAATCCGGTTATTGATGTTAATGCTGATAATAAAAATGATGCAGAAAAGAAGGGTGGTACCGGTGGTCGAAAGGTATTCTTCATATGGGGACATTTCAAAGAAGTGGTGGGAAAAGACAAAGTAAAATGCACACATTGTAAGATGATAATGCAAGGAAATTCGAAACAAAACAGTACGAGTTCAATGGCCAACCATTTATACAACGTATGTAAAACCTCACCTCTTTATAAGAAAAAGACAGATTCGAAAAAACAAGCCACGTTGAATTTTAAAAAGTTAGGGCGGGGGGGGGGGGGGGGGGGGCTACTTCTTTGGAATCTCATAGCTTTAGCCAAGAAAAGTGTAGGAAATCCTTAGCGCGTATGTGTATCAAAGATAACCAACCATTTAGTATAGTTGACGATGAGGGGTTTAGAGAATACTCATGGGATTTGCAACCCTTGTTTAAAATAACATCGAGGTGGAATGTTGCAACAGATTGTTTAAAGTTATACAACGAAGAGGTGTCAAAGCTTAAGGACCTTTTGAAAAATCAAACCATGTCTCTTACCACCGACACGTGGACGTCTGTGCAAAATGTTAATTACATGTGTCTTACGGTACATTGGATTGATGATCAAAGGGTTTTGAGAAAGAAAATTCTCAACTTTTATCAGATAGCAAATCAGATCACCAGGGTGAAACTATTGGGAAGCTAGTTTACAATTGCTTGGAGAAGCGGGGTATCGAGAGAAGTGGGGTATCGAGAGAGTGTTTACAGTAGCCATGGATAATGTTTCATTTAAATATGGGGCAATTAGATATTTAGTGGCCATGATCAAGGGACCTCATTCTTTCTTGGATTGCAAGTATTTGCATCTACGGTGTTGTGCCCATATCATAAATCTTGTGGTGAGAGACGGTTTAGAGGAACAATTCTCATCTATCTCAAAGATTCGAAATGTTGTAAAGTATGTGAGGTCATCTCCTGATAGGGCTGCAAATTTCAAGGATTGTGTTGAGAAAGTGAAGATTGATTGTAAAAGGAAACCAAGCCTAGATGTTGATACACAATGGAATTCTACATTTTTGATGTTGGAGACGGTAGAAAAGTATGAATCCGCGTTTAATAAGGGGATTTTATGAGGAATGCTTTAATTTTTAGGTGTATATTAATTTTTATTATATTTTACATACTAACATTTTAAATTGTTTTCATTTTTACTATTAGGCTTCATTCTATCGATTCTGGTTATAGAGCTTTCTGTAGAGCTGATGTCGATGAGGATTATGATGGTAGTACGAGAAAGAGATGAAGATACAATACTATTTATCGCAAACTATTAACGGTACTTTATGTTTATTTTTAACAAACTGTTAATGGTATTAAACTTTGATCTTTTGAACTCTTTTATGCTTTTAGAATAATAGAATGTGTGCTCTTTATTTTAGTATATTTAAAGTAGATAAAATACTATTTATCGCAACGTACTTTCACTGGGTTTGAATCCAAAAACTAGAAAAAAAAAAACAGGAGCTCATAAACCCAAGGCTTAAAACCGAAAACCCATAAACACAACACGAAAAAAAGAAAAACTGAACCTATATGGGTTTAAAAACCGAAAAACTGACTTTCAATGGTTTGGTTTGTTTTTAGCAAAAAACCGACCCATGCTCATCCTTACCATTTAGCTTAAAATTTAATTTTAGGTATTGAACCCACCAGGTCCAATTTATAATCATAAGCTTAAAGCTTCTATGTTTTATTGTAAATCTAACTAAACAATTAGGACTTATCGAAAAGTTAATTCTTTTCGTGATTCATTAGACCCATAATATTTTTTGGAGCAACTTAAATCCAACAATCTTTTTTAATCACTTTGGATAATCAATTTCATCTAACACTTTTCATGAGAGATCATCTTGGTGATTGTAATGTCATCCGATCATTTTGTATAATTGATTAAGATGAAAAGGGATTTCAACTAATATATCATATGAGTTAGTTAGTACAATATGTCATTTTGTACAAGACTATTTTGATTATAACTTTACGAATGTGATGGTTCAAGGGGTATGCACCTTATGGCGGTGTCAAGAGGCACCATATCAAAACCTAAACAAATTTTAGGATTACAAGTACATTAGGAAATGTGTACATAAGTATGCTACTAGTCATTTTAAAGTTGGTGTGCTAGGACCGACTAAAGCCACTTTGAACTCTTTTGCAATTGATCAAAGTTGATGTTTAACTTAGTTTAGAGTAACAACTCACTTTAAACCGTCGAGGTCGGTTTGAATAGACTGTACGTATAGTGTTTGGTATAACCAAAAGAAAACAACGATTCAAATTACCATATTGCCCTTTATATAAAAATATGAGAAATCAAATATTCTCTTACCATCTTCCTACATATCTAAGAGTGTGACACTTATCATATTTAATAAAATTAATTATTTTTTGTTACACTTGTCATCATCTATAACTGGTAGGAGGATGCGTAGGAAGAATAAGTAAGAGGATATTTAATTACTAAAAAAGTATTATAGAATAACCACCATAACTTCAAATTAATGCTAACCAGACTTTTCAAACCTAATCTATTTATATTGACAGTTGTTCGATTATGAACATAGGAAAAGATTGAAGATGGAGAAAAGATATGAATTTTTAGAAGATGTTTTATTTAGATTTAATATGTATGTGTAATGTATTATTTAATGTTGGTGTCTTGATTATTTGGATACATCTTTATAATTATATGTCTTGACACTTCAACATTTTAAATGTTAATCGGACTGTTTGAGATATTTGTCCACAATTTAATTTATCTAAATGATTTACTCAAGTATAACTAGTGGAGATGCCCATGCTTTGTATGGGTCCAAGGGGGTCTTATTTTTTGTTTGACTGTATAAGTAGAATGTAGTTAAATATGGGAAAAGGATCACATTAAAAGATAAACATTACATAAGTTCAAAAGATTTCAAATAGATAGATGATTCTAAAGAGGATGGTGGAGTTGAGCTTTTATGGCTATGATTTCAAACAAATATATGTATGTTGCTACTTTGTGTATTTAACGTGTAGTTGAGACATACAAGGATGCTAATTACCGAATGGCTTGTCCGGATCCGAGTAGCAACTAAATTTCACAATAGCAGCTTTCTGGCATCAACTTCTGGAAGTGCTCTTGTAACTTTATCAATTTATCCAAGTTATCTGGTCCTCTGAACATGAGGAAAAAAATCTTTATAGTACATATGCTGCTTATGTCAACATCATAAAAATGTATACAAAAGAAAAACTAAGACTCACTAAATAAATATAGAAATAGTGGAGCAACGACTGCTATCCTTAAGTTAAAAATCATTAGAAAAACAAATGAAAATATTATCTTCTAAATAATAATGTTGTAAGGGTGTGAAATGGAATAATCAACATACCGTTGTCGAAAGGTTACACATTATGGGAGTATGGGAAACCAAATCTCCATGGCCTTATGCTTCTTGTTGAAGTTGTTTCAAACATTCTTTCAAGGCACCAACAAGTTAAACAATTCGATCCTCGAGGGTTAAGTTTCTGACAAAATCTCAACTTGTCGTAGTAATGAAGAGGCCTCACTTTGAACTTTCTCCCATCCGTAACAAAAAAGAAAAAAAAACAACTAAATTATTATTTGTAACATCCATAAAAATCACAAACAATTTAAACCTTTCAAAACAACTCATTTACTCATAAAAGTGTTTACAAAATCATTGTTTCCACAACATTCTTTAAAATCAGAGTCTCCCAACACAACATGTTGACATATAATAGATAACAAACATATACATATAATCAAGGCAGACAAGATCACATGTAGTCCTACAGATCTACCAGACTAACATATCAACAACTAGCATAATCATACAGATCTATTCCATACTCAACATATCAGTGTACAACAGGATATCAATCTAATGGGATGACCTTGGTGCCTTCGACCTGTAAGTACAGTGAGGAAAACTGACCTCGATCCGCTGATAATCAAATACCTGCTCGGACCGCCAAACTAGATAACCTCATGCCAACTAACAATAAATACAATCTTAATTAATATAATTAACCCGATAACCCAAAATACCCTTAGGTCACACTTGGTCAACCCCGGTCAAAGTCAAAGCCCACGATCAAGGTCCAAAAGTCAATATTTCTTCCTAGCGGAGTACTCCCTGCGTACCAATAGAGTACAAGAGTATGCCCAACATACTCTGATGTTGACCAATAGCGGCGTGCTAACCACGTAGGAGCAGCATACCACCAGGTACGCCCAACATACTCAACACAGTCCCAAAACTCAATTAAGAGCCTATTCCATTAATTTCTTACATCCAAAACTCAGATCCAAGCCCAAAATGATGTCCTAAGTCATAAAGTTTCCAACCTTATGACTTTGCATGGCTATAAAGTGCTTAATGTCCAAAACCCTAAGTTCTTAACCCAATAAGACATCCCAACTCTTGCATGGAAGGGATAGAAGGGCCAATATCACATTTTTATAGTTCATAATAGCTTTATAATGGATAAAGTTTCCAACCTTATCCATTAGAATGGTCCCAACAAACAAGATCTAGTCTTTAAGTCTGAAAGGCACCCAAAAGTTCATCTTTATCAATATAATCCATTAAGTACAAGTCTCAAACTTTCAGATCTGAATCAAAAT